CACAAATCTTTCCACGAAACAGACAGTTTTAAGTGCAAAAGGTGCGAAAGTGCAGAATCACTCCAGCATCCCCTTAACGCATTTGATTGGTCTATGGACAAATGCACAAGGAAATGGATAGAAAGGGCTGACGCGCACCGCGGGGTCCGACGACGTCGCGCCGTTGGAAATCGCGCCCCTCTCGCTCGCGGCGAGAGCGCCGCGGCCGCGTGTTTCGCGAGAACCGGATGCGACGATTCAAAAGTTGCTCCACGAACGCCGCCATGTTGTTGTGTCACGTGACCGCACGGCCAGGCAGCCAGGCCGAGAGAGCAAGAGCAGCAGTGAGGTGAATGCGCCGGGTCAGGTCCGGTGCTGGGAAAGTCGATCGCAAAAATTCAGGCGTCCAATTAGCACTAGGCGAGCCGAGGCGGCCCGGAGCGATGGACGCGCGTAAGCTCACGGAGCTGCTGCGGGCGACGATCGACCCCGCGCAGCAAAAGGAGGCGGAGGGGCAGCTCACCCAGGTAGGGAATCCGCGCGCGCGGGCGAGCAAGCGAGCGAGCGAGCGAGGCCCGTCCGCGGGAGAAAACGTGCTCGGCGCGATTTCGTCCGGCGGGAGCGGCGGGGGGGGGGGGGGGGGTAGGCGGAGGACTGACTTCCGAGCGGCACCTCGGGAACATGTGGGGTCCGGTCCCGTCCCGCCCTCGGTCGTGCCCTCGCGCCCGGGGCCCTTTGCCGTTTCGCGCGCACGTGCGCGAGATCGCGGGCAGACGCGTCCCCGCCGAGAGGATAATGCCGGCGTGCTCGTCACCGTTCCCGCCGCCGCCGCAGCCCCCGCCACCGTGATTGGGAGGGGGAGGGGGGCGGCTCTACTCTTCTCGGCGGACGCTGCGATCCTCGTCGCCGCGGAGCGAGCTCCGGCGAGCTCGGCCCGCGTCGACGGAGGCCTCCGCGTGGGGCCACACGGCACCCTTTGTCTCGCTCGCTCGCTCGCTCTCGTCGTACGACAACGCGGCCCGCTAACCTCTCCTCGCGCCTTTGACCCTCGACATGGAACGTGCTCCTCGGGATTGTTCCCCATATAGCCTTGTACGTCGCGTTTTAACGCGCCCTGTCCTTCGGCGAAATTGTCCCGACATGGCCGGTAATTTTGCCACTTTTATGCATACCGTTGCATTACTTTTATGTATCTTTCCTGTACATGTGCGGTAACGTTCGCGTTACCTATTACTCGTGCACTCTATATGCTCTGCAAATTATCACGAGTTGTAGAACTGCGATGATATCAGAGCGATGATAGCGCGCGGCGATGGTGAGCAATGAGGCGGTACGATGTGTATGCTTGAATTTTTCAGATTCACAAAATTATCGGCTTCGCGCCGTCGCTCCTGCAGGTGGTAATGTCAAACGAAGTCGATATGCCCGTCAGGCAGGCCGGTAAATATTTGTTTGATGTGTAACACCAAAGACAAGGGGCAGATCGTGATGCAAACACATGACGTTTCGTTGTTTTTGTAGGTGTAATTTATCTAAAAAATTTAATTACTTCAAATTGGGCCGACAAGGAAGTGGACGGTGGGCCCATAGAATTTAGCATTCACGAGCAGGATCGTGCAATGATACGCGATGCCATAGTAGACGCTGTGGTACATGCCCCAGACTTAATTAGGCAAGTTGCGCTCCGACTTGTATTAATAAAAAGTATATATATATATACACATATATGTGCATAATAAAATTGTCCTTGCCTGTCTGTATTGTATGTTTAGAGTACAATTAGCAATGTGCATCAGTAATATAGTTAAGCACGACTTTCCCGGACGATGGACACAAATAGTGGACAAAATTACAATATACCTTCAGAATCCAGATGCTTCGTGTTGGCCTGGTGTTCTCCTCGCGCTGTATCAGCTTGTCAAAAATTTCGAGTACGTTTAATCGCGAGCCATCGGTATTCTGTTATGTAGAAAAGGATTTCATAATGCTTCTCGTAACTAGGTACAAGAAAGCAGAAGAGAGGGGACCATTGAACGAAGCGATGAACTTGTTATTCCCTATGATCTACCAATTGATATTACGCTTATTGCCAGATTCGTCCGAGCAGTCTGTCCTGCTTCAGAAGCAGATATTGAAAATTTTCTTTGCGCTCACACAGGTATGCAAGGATTATAGATGCGACGTCTTGTAGATATGATACTCGTTGAAAAACATCTTTAAACTCAACGATTGTACATCTCCGCAGTACACGCTTCCCCTTGACCTTATTTCGAAAGAGATATTTTCACAATGGATGGACGTAGTAAGACAAATAGCCGACAGACCGGTACCGCCGGAGACTAATAACCCAGATCTTGATGATGACGAACGCCTGGAACTGCCTTGGTGGAAATGTAAAAAGTGGGCGTTGCATATTTTACACAGAATGTTCGAGAGGTAATTAAAATCACTCGTTACTCGTCAAAGCTAACGAAGGTAACGAACGCAGAGAGATTTACATACTGATTTGGCGCTGTTAATTGCAGATACGGCAGTCCAGGAGGTGTGACCAAAGAATATAACGAATTCGCCGAATGGTACTTGCAAACCTTCAGTGCTGGTATTCTCGAGGTTCTTCTAAAGATCTTGGATCAATATCGTAGAAAAATTTATATCTCCCCTAGAGTAATACAGCAATCAATCAATTATATCAATCAGGGGTAAGGATCTGTATGTTAATGAGGGTTTCCTCGGACCTCGCAAGGTTTACTAAACGTGATAAACTTCTCTAGAGTGAGCCACGCGTTTTCTTGGAAATTTTTGAAGCCTCACATGTTTGAAATCATACGCGACGTTTTATTCCCCATTCTCTCGTATTCTGCCGCTGATGAGGAACTGTGGAATACCGATCCGTACGAATACATCAGAGTAAAATTCGGTAAATTCAAGTCAATCATATAGCGCATTGACGTAAATGTGAAGAGCTTTGCTTACCAGTGATATTTCCACAGATATTTTCGAAGATTTTGTATCGCCGGTAACGGCAGCGCAAACTTTGCTGCACTCGGCGTGTCGAAAGCGAAAGGATATGCTACAAAAAACGATGCAGTTTTGTCTAGAGGTATTAACTAGTCCAAATGCAGACCCAAGGCAAAAAGATGGCGCGTTACATATGGTGCGTTTATGAGAAACTTGTACTATCTGAACTTTTTATGTTTAATAATATTTTATCATTTTGGCACGTTGTGTTTTATGTGTCGTTAATGTGAAATTATATTTTATTTAGATTGGCAGTTTAGCCGACGTTTTGTTAAAAAAGAAGGTTTACAAGGAACAAATGGACAAGATGTTACTGCAATATGTATTTCCCGAATTCAATAGTCCCCATGGACATATGCGAGCAAGGGTAAAAAAAATGCTTAAATTATTATTACGTAATATTATATCTGAATATATATTAATTAGTATATGTATATGTAATACTAAATATTATATTTAATGCAGCAACAATGACTAATTATTTTTTTCAGGCCTGCTGGGTGATGCACTACTTTTCGGAAATCAAATTTAAATCGGAACAAATTTTAGTTGAGGCAATCAGTTTAATTACAAATGCTCTTCTGACAGATCATGATTTGCCTGTTAAAGTTGAAGCGGCCATAGCGCTCCAGATGATGCTTTCGTCACAATCAAAGGCTCAGAAGTACATCGAACCATTAATTAAACAGATAACACTCGAATTGCTGACGATTATAAGACAAACTGAAAACGACGATCTGACGAGTGTTATGCAGAAGATTGTCTGTACATACACTGAGCAACTAGTTCCGATCGCTGTAGAAGTCTGTCAGCATTTGGTAAGAAGTTTGATAACTTTGTAATATTGCAAGAAAGATTATGCGAATATATAAAGTAGAACACTATTGTGTTGTATGACAATAACATACGTATTCTTTATCCAGGCTGCTACATTTAGCCAAGTGCTTGAAACAGATGAAGGCAGCGACGAGAAGGCAATAACAGCAATGGGCCTCCTGAACACAATAGAAACATTACTAACGGTAATGGAGGAACAGCCCCAAATCATGTCGCAACTTGAACCGATTGTCCTCCAAGTAGTAGCTCACATCTTTGGACACAGTGTAATGGGTATGTTCTTTCACATTCAAATTTCCATTCTTTGATAAGGGATTTGTCATTACTAGAATTTAATAAGACCCCGGCATGAATTTGGGGTCTTTTTAATAATTTTCATATTCTTTGTCGCACTTGAGTAAAGTTTAAGTTTCCTTATCGGTACAATATTTTCTAGTTAAATATGTATATACATATGTGAGGTAATAGAATCGGGATTTGAACTCGGGTTTCTTTTCTGGTAGTTTATTGTTTTGCAATAATCTATCATCCCGCAAATTTTTATTATTATCCGACTAATTAGTAACGTGATAAAAGTAATAATGACAGAGATATTTCAATCTGTTCAAAACTCAGTTTCACGTCAAGTTTTTTAATTTTGTTTTTGATTTTTAATATGTGTTAAATATTTTTAATGTTTATATATTTTATGTAATATTTTCTTTTATGTACACAATATAGATTTGATATGTACTTCTCTTGTATTATTATATTAAGAGCACATTAATAAAAATGGCTTTTCTTAATCAGAATTTTATGAAGAAGCGTTATCGCTAGTTTACGACCTAACGGGTAAAGGCATATCTGAAGACATGTGGAAGGTCCTAGAACTCATGTATCAACTCTTTCAAAAAGATGGTTTTGACTATTTCACTGACATGATGCCCGCGTTACATAATTATATCACAGTCGATACTCAGGCGTTTTTATCGAATGAAAATCACATTCTTGCTATGTTCAACATGTGTAAAACTGTAAGTACCAAGGAAAGATTCCGTCAATGTGCAAGCACTATTACTGTTTACACAAGACATTACTTTCTATGTTATAGGTATTGACTGGTGATGGTGGTGAAGATCCAGAGTGTCATGCTGCCAAGTTACTAGAAGTTATAATTTTGCAATGTAAAGGACATATAGATCAGGTAATGTACAAAATTACATGCGCAAATGAGTCTAATTGCCGATAATCTACGAGGTAATATGACGTAATACGAAGAAACTACTTAAATTTCAGTGTATACCATCACTTGTGCAATTAGTTCTTGAGCGCCTAATGCGCGAAGTTAAAACTTCAGAGTTGCGAACGATGTGTCTTCAAGTAGTTATTGCCGCTTTATATTACAATCCAGCGCTCTGTCTTGAAACAATGGATCGATTGCAAAGAAACTTCGATCAGTCGACGGAGCCGCTTGCTTCACGTTTTATCAAGCAATGGATCAACGACACTGATTGCTTTTTGGGGTATATATGTATATTTTTTATTATATAAGAAAATTCTAATACGAAATTATTAAAATACTAGCAAGATATAAAAGTTTGCAGTATTAATTTTTGTATTTGTAACACGAATTACGTAACTTTTCCACAGCTTGCACGATCGTAAATTATGCGTTCTTGGACTGTGTACATTAATCAGTATGGGACCTGCGAGACCAGCTGCTGTTAACGAATGCGCAACGCAGATTATTCCATCCTTAATCTTGCTGTTTGAAGGTTTGAAGAGAGCGTATGCTGCTAAAGTTACAGACGGAGACGACGATGACAACGACGAGGACGAAAGTGATATTGACGAAGGTGAGCGTTTTGTACGTAAATGATAATGAATATGACGAGCTGATTAACTTTGATAATTTTTAGAGGTTTTATCATCCGATGAGGACGACGTCGACGAAGCCAATCAAGAGTACCTCGAGAAATTGCAGGATAAGATAACACGGACGTCTGCCCAACATGGCTTTAACGTTAATGCGACTATACAAGACGGTCATGGTGATCACAGGTCAGATGACGATGACGACGACTCAGACTACGACGGTAATGAGGAGACTGCTCTCGAAAGCTATACTACACCCCTAGATTCAGACGATTCTAATCAAGATGAATATGTTGTTTTCAAGGAAGTTATACAAAGTAAGTATCTAAAAGTAATACTCGAGATAAATTAATTTCAAGATGCGCGTTATAGTCAACACACATTTCATATATTTCTTATTTATAACTAGATATTGAAAGAACCGACGTGACCTGGTATAGAGCCTTAACGAGTCTTCTAAGCCCTGAGCAAGAGAAAGCTCTACAAGAAATTATTCTTTTGGCGGATCAGCGCAAAGCAGCTTTAGAAAGCAAAAGGATCGAGCAGAGTGGAGGTAAATTCATGCTTTTTAATAATTGAGAATTAATCTTGATTGCTATATTAGAAATTAATCTGTATACCCGTTCATTTTAATTGTATTATTTTATCTGTATAAATCTAAAATCCTTTTAAATGTTCTAGGATATGTCTTTCACTCACAGACTGTGCCCACCTCATTCAACTTTGGTGGAACACCTTTAAGTCGATAAAGACTTGTAATCATTTCAATTTTAGATTAAGTAAGTAAACAAATTATACTGAATCTGGATCGGATATTTGTAGCACATGATTATTACTATATGACCATTTGGAAAATACGCATTTCCTATTTACTATTTTTGTGTAAACTAATTGTACATTACTAAGACTATCCAACGGTCTTACTTTAATAATGACACTAAAATTTTATCTTTACGAAATCAGTCTTGTGCATACTATTTTATTAAGAAACGGCAGATTTGCTTCTTGGTTCATCGTGTGCAGCTGTGTATTCCCCTTTACACATTTATTATGTATAACAATTAAATTTTCGATTGAAGTGAAATATTCCTTGTCTAGCAAGCTGTAATACGTTTTCTTGACAATTTGGAATTACTTTGAATTATACTATTATTGAAACACTTTACTTTCAAAATATTCTTGGTTGAGAAAATTTCATCATAACTTGCTAGATATACGTACTCATATGAAATATATACTTAATCTCGATGGTTTGAATTAAAAAATCTTTTAGCAGAAGAAAAATCGCTTAAGATTATAAAAATATATGTTACAAAATTATATTAAATTGTTGGTATAAATATATCAAACGAAACCTTTTGAGTACATGTATAACTATGTTATTCGATGTTATTAACAGTTAGTTCGATAAAACATCATGCTGTACGCTCTCCAGATCTATTTACGAATTGCTATCCTCCTGAAAAAAGAAAAATGTAACTTGTCACGATTACTAGACATAATTTGCAAAACTGCGTTGCCTATCAGAAAATATTTAGATAAGAGTAATTTAGATTTCTAAATAAACACTTTTTTTCAAGTCTTTGTTTAAATGTATATTGTATTATATATGGTCAAACAATTTTCTGCAGTTACCGATCACTTTACATAAATCCCAGCACAGCTTGCTTTATTTTGAAAAAGTTCTGCCATAGTTTACGCTGTCCAAACTGTACTCTGAAAGATGGAGCTGCACCAATGGTATAATAAGGCACTTTGAATAGTTTCTGCAAATGTAACAAAGTGTTTACCATCTTAAGTCTTCTGGACTAATATCCATACTGTATTATAAGAGATATTAACAAAGAACACGATAAATCTGAGCAGAGCTCTTTCTTTCACGAGGTATTGTAATTACGTAGGGCGAACTCGGAACAGAAATAAACTATAAATATCAGAGCCCAAAATGATAAAGGCGTACAAAGAAGAGGTGTTCTGTGCTGTGGTTAGTGAAATGATTACTGCACAAGAGAGTGCTTTTTATATCGGAAAGCAAAAGGACGCATTTGTCAATTATGTGTCGCTTGAGAATATAAATTGTGATTTTGTATTTAAGTCCAAGAGTTTGTACTAAAGTGTTATTTGGTAGTGAAACTAGATTGTCGACCTTTTGTTGATAAGGATATATGCTTTTTTATGATATATACTCGACCAAACTTTTATTCTGTTTATCGAATACGAGGCTTATCTGTTTTTCATATAAAGCTGCAAGAAATTGCTGTGCAATAATTTTCATCACGTTTTAATCCACAAATTTAGTTTTTCTGAGGAAGATTTTGTATACAGGGTGCATGCAAAAAATACAGCGGATAGTATAGAGAAATGATATAAAATAAATTAACTTTGTTTAAAGTTAAAGTCTAACGATATAAAATATCAATAAGTAAAAAATATAGAAATGTATGTGTATTGCTCAATATTTTTTAAATATACGTTATACATAATGCGCACGTCTCTTTCGAAACGTCTCACGAATTTCAGAAAGCCAGGGATACTTTGCATGTGACAGAATTCAAATTATATGTATATACATATATTTTATACTTTATAAAATTCAAATTGTTTCGTACGTTAGAAAAAGTTGTATGATCGTGATCAATACATTACACGATACTTCTAATTGAGAAATAAATCTAATTGATACGTCAATAATAAAAGAAAAAATGTTAGTATGCACACATCATGATATTAAGAAATTATTTTTCCAACGTGATCGATTATATTTCAATAAATCTTTCGTAATTTTCTTTTGCAGTGCCCTGCTTTTAGATTGGCTCCTTTGGAATTGTCTCTATTGATTTCTTGCAGTGTTTATCAGAGATACATGTACAGCATAAAAGCGAGTTTTAGTATCGTATCTATTTTATAAACAGTACGACGCAATCAAATAAAGATACCATCGCTCCTCGCACTGTAATCCGAGCTCGCGACCCGTCATTTGGTACGGTTGAAATCTTTGCATGAAATGAGAAGAGGTTTATTGATTGCGTCAGTTTTCAATGAAAAATGTTTTAAAAAAAGTGCCTTGAGACGTTGACGCGCAGACGGGACCTAAATTAAAGAATACAGCAAAATAAGCTGTAGGTCGGAGTGAGGCCAGGACACTTCTCTAGTTTCTAAGTTCTATAAGTACTGTATTAAAGAATAATAAATTAATAACTGATAGAGAGAAGAGACGAGAAAGCTGTTCCTTTGCTCTTTAGGATACGAATCGTAACTTCTTTGTAACGAATATTTACCACACACACATATATACACATACACACACACATTCTCTCCGTAGTTTTTATATAATGAATAAAATAAATTATAAATAATCGTAGCGGCGACAAGTCTTATAATAAAATCACATATACGCTTAAGTCTTGATATTGTATAAACTGATACGAGGTAAGATAATTATACTGGTGCTTTAATATACGGATGAAGTTTATAGAAACTTCGTTATTAAACTGAAAATGTAGTATCTGTCTTGTATCTGTCATTTATTTATTTATCCAAGACCTTTATTTCTCAAGTTTACAATATGTTTTGTGGAATAGCATTTAGCTCTTTCTTATAATTTGTGTCTAATTAAACATATTTTGTAAACAAAATAATACGCAATTGTAATTTGGAATTCACAAGCATAGATTATGTTTTAAATTGAAAGTTTAGAAAGATAGTAAAGTTAAACTTTATTATAATATAATTTGTTGCTAAAAGATGAGTAAACAAAGTATCTTTCGTACATACTTGTGTGGATACAATTACTCTCCTTAATTATCTTTTATTCTTTCACCAGCGATTATACATATTTTACTATTATGAATTCCAAAATTTATACAGATTAGAGAGAGAGAGAGATATATATATATATATATACGACGTTACCTAAATATTCTGATTTATACATCAATACAAGAGCAAGTAGCAGAAAGAAGTATCGGTGGCACATTTTAACACACTTTATTACATAAGTATCTTTGTGATTCTTGCATTATGAATTTTGTCTAAACTACATTGAGATATGCTCAATTATTTTATAATAGACTGTACAAGCGTGATGTTCAAAATATACTTTCCAATATTTCTAGTAATTATGGAGTACGATAATAAATTAAATTTTGTAGCATGATAAATTTCACAATTTTATTATAATCTCATAGTTGTTAGCGACTGCTGTAAGATGCTATAAGGTTTGTACTTGTACGCAAAGCAAATCAATTTCCTCGCTTAGTGTGAAATAAATTCGGTTTCATAAAAGGACATCGGACCGTTATTTTCACGTACTCTACAACGAGACCTGTTTTGTCGGGAATAAAAATTGCTGCTTGCGACAATCGAAACAAAATACTTGCAGTTTTGTAACAGCCTTATATTCCATTCTCAGTCAATACATAAGTTACTTGTACATATATTCAAATGAAAAGCAGATTTTGATAGATGCTACGGTGAAAAGTCATTATGAAAATGGGTTATGCCTCCTAGAAAATAAATATTTCATAAATTAAGGGGTACCTATAAAACCACAAAACAAGTTTAAAAATTCGGGATCCAGAAACAGTCTAATTTCGGGTCCAGAATTGTATGCGGCACAATCAAATATCTCGCATCGTAACATCTATTATCTGCCGAATGTCAAACTATAATTCTACGATCCCTTCAACACTGCACTTCAAATTCACTAAAATAATGCCATGGCCAATAAACATTTCTGGTAATCATCGAAAACGGTGAACGACACATTTAATTCATGCACCCTATCCCCCCCCCCCGTCTCTACCCCAGGTTTGCTAAAAAAAAAGTGTTTTCCAATTAAATGTATATAGGCCTGGCAAGAAACAAAGAAAGTAAATATGTTAATGTTATCACGCAAGTGACAATGAGGACACCGTGTGGTCCTACATCCATTCCGTAGTTTAGGATGTCTTCACCTATAGTGAGTCCTTAGAGAAGCGTGTACAGTATTGACAGCGAGGCACTGTATCACTTGAGACACCGTTCGAAATAATAGGATCCTACGTAACCACCGCGCATCGCTTTCGCTACGTTCTGCTCGAAAGCCCTTCTGTTGTTTTGTAGAACCTCGGCCGCATCCTTATTCAATGGGTCCTCAGGATTTGGTTCCTACCAAAATATTTATTCTTCTCAACTCGAATAAAAAGCAATTGGGACGTGCATAGTCATACTTGTTGGAAAGATGTTATTACAGGTCAAGTTCTACATATAAACTTTGTTATTAATAAAAAATCTCATCCACCACACATATGTATTATATATACATGTATACGTGTGTATTTATGTGCACAAATAATTCTAAAGTTTACAATTTCTCTCATGTGGTAGAAATACAGTTGTCATGTTTCAACACATCGCAAGCAAGAAACAGAAATGGTAGCAGAGTTAAACGTACTAGGAAGAGATACTGGAGACCATAGACGATGGAATTGATCGTGAGCACAGGCTTCCAGTCTTCTCTCAAGATATTGAGGCACACATTACCATCCAAATCGATATTAGGATGATAAACCTGAGTCTCGCACTTTACCTTAGGTGGCTCGTGCGGGTAATTGGGCCCGACTTTGAAACTAAATACGAACCTACCACCTTTGTAAAATCCCTGAAACAGTTAATAAACCTTGAAATCATCCAAAGGACACGAGATCACTGCCAATGTTGACGGTAGCTATCGTCGTTTCGCCGACAGTGGCAATCTCGAGTTTCCCGCGGGACGACGGAAAGTGGCGTCGACCTGATCGACCGTGAGGACCGCAAGGAGCTCCGGGAGGAGCGTTTACTTACTTCATCCGGGCAGATGATTAATTTAAAGCTTAGCAAATCGTCGGGATCCGGGAATTCCGTGCCGCACGTTTTCGGGAGATTGAGCTCGTTTATGTCTGTAAAAGAAAAGGGAACACGTGAGAGGGGGACAAAACCAACGGGCCGGACGCGTCGCGGCGACGATTTCTAGCAACGTGCTCCGAACCTTTCGTGATCCTCAGCTGTGCCGCGGACGCCTTTTTCTGGGTGCCAGCCTTGGGTGACTCGCCATCTTTTTTCGCTTGTTTCAACGAGAATAGCTTGATCATAATTAAATCGCGCGTTTGACGCCGGCGCGGGCTGACATGCAAGTGTCTCGGGCACGGGCCGCGACTGCGGGCGGCATACAAAAATCGCGTCTGAGAACCCCACGATTTTTTGACACCACGGGATCAATCGCACGGTTGGTCCCGCAAAGAGTCGCACGCAACACGCACAGGCGGCGCTAAAGCGGCTAGCGTCACGTGGACGGGCGCCCGTGAGCGCGCTGCTGTCACGGCGTCGCGACGCCGAGTGCTCTCCCTTTTCGCGCGTCGATAATCAACCCCCACCGACGGGACTCGCTTTAACCGCCGCGCTCGATTATCGACGGAGCCGGCCGCGCGGCCAAAGAGTTCGCGCCTCTGCCGGGAGGTGCCGCCACCAACGCCGTCGAGAGTCCGCAGGATCGCGGTCGCCTTTTTCCCCCGGTAAGTTCCCGCGCGTTTCGCGACAATAATTGCGCGTAAAAGGGCGAGCCGTTACTCGCGACGTAATCTCGCGTAGTTTCTGATGAATGTCGCGCGAAGGGAATCCAGGAGATCGTCTGGTAAGCCGCGTTCCGATATTCCGTGCACAAGCACTCGTCGGTCGATGTTGAAACGACGTCGAGTCGACTTCGAGGCGTGTTTGCGGCGTCGAGTGAGCCGCAAGCCTAATACGGCGGCTCCGCGATTGCTTTGTAACGTAAGGATTGCACGATCTTCAAGTACGAGAACTACGAATACGGCGTGCAGATATTTTGCGCGTGCAATTACGATCGTCCAGGCCGCCCTCATTGCGCAGGTCCGCGGGCGACGGTTTCGCGCCTTTATTGCACCCGAATCCGCGTTCCCGTGACTCTCCGCGGCTTCGCCTCCCGACGCTCGCGCAGGCGTATGTTTAACTTTCAACGCTCGGCGATGGATTACAGCCACGCTACACCGGCGAAAATCATCCTAACGAGATTACGGGCGCTTTGTGTGCGCAAGATATTTGAAAGCGTTTCGCGACCCTTCACGTGACTCGCCCGCCTGCGCACTGCGCATGATCGTCGCGCGGTCGCGTCGCTGCGGGATAAAATCCTGCGTAATTTTCGACGATTCATCGCGCGGTAAGTTTGCCAGCCCGCCGTTAACGCGATCCGCGCCGCACTCGACAATTCTCGGCGCGGCGCGTCCCGATTGCTCGTAATAATTAATAATTGTTTTACTCGGACTTTTCGGTGGCGTGCGAAAGTAACGATGGCCGTGCGCGCCGCGCTTGTTTGCAGGGTTTTCACGCCCGACGACGGTACGCGCGGGCAGCGAGCTGGCGGTCACGCGAGAGGCCCGTTAATTTCGGGATAACTCGACGGCGGAATGATTTGCCGCGCAGCGCCGCGCCCGAGTCGCCGCAAGCCCGTCCTTTGAGAGGATCGACGGTCGACCGAAGCACCTGTCACTTGGATGGGCAACTCCAACGCCAAGAGGAGCTATCATAATCATCACAAGTATGATAGTCAGGTGGGTGTTGTTTTAGAGAGTCCGGCAATCTAACCTAACCTAACCCTAACCTACCATAAATTACGTCCTGGTGAAAATGCGTTCCGCGTTTGTGCGTCGCGCTGCGATTGAATGCACGCTGAGGGCGATATTGTTAATTTACAGTACAGCCTCAGTGACTTGCTCGGTGGGAGCTGCGTCAACAACGCGACGGCGCAGGCCACCCGCGAGGAGGCGAGTTGGTCCCGCGCTTCTCACAGAAGGTAAACTCAATTTGGCAATAATTTGCTTGTGTTAGTGTGCGACAAACGCGGATTTCCCTACGTTTGTAGTATCGTGATTAGAGGAATTAAGCGTGCACTTGTTTACTTCAGTTGGACCAAAGGCGCTACGCAGGATATTCACGGATCTTCCAAGACGGTGTGGCCGATTCCGCGCTCCCAGTCGATATTTCTGCCAGAATTCCCGGCCAAGGTGGTGCCTTTGAAAACTGGATACGTCTTCTTGGATGTGATAGCTAAGGGTGCTTACGGACAAGTGTATAAAGTACAGAAACAAGAGACTGGTCAGGTCTTCGCACTGAAGGTGATCAGCAAAGCCATGATCGTGGCAGAAAACTGTGTCAAACAGGCCAAGGAGGAGGTGCGTACACGTGTGAGACTAAGCCGCTTCGCTAGATTCTATTGATTTTATATAATGAGAGATTCGACGTTTTATGTTTAGGCAGCGATACTGCGGATGGTTGGACATCACCCTTTCGTAGTCAATTCCGTCCACAGATGGCAAGGCAGGAAGACGTTATACATATGTATGTTTCTATCATTACAACGTTCAAGCCTCACTGTAGCTCTCGAATCAAACTGATCTAAATTTAACATTTCAGTGATGAATTATATCTCCGGGGGAGAATTATTTTCACTAGTCGACGTGTACGGCTGTTTGCCTGAGAAAGTAGTCAGGATATATGTAGCCGAAATTGCCTTAGCTATAGGTAAGAATATAATTCCAGCAAAGCCAACGGCACACGATACTGTTTTCCCTACCGGATTGCTTACGAGAGGATTTAGGCTTAAGGGCCTGAGCAGAATGACCGTCTTGCACTCTTGAGACAATGTTTTATGTTTTAAGTCTTTGTCTTAAAGTAACGCACAATAACTGTCCTGTGACTTAAGAATACAAGACAGCCATTCTGCTCAGGCCCTAAGTCATCAGATCTAAAACTCTGCGTCCTTATTGGTTCTCGCAAGCAATCCAGTAGGAAAAATGGTATCGTGTGCCGTTGGCTTAACTCCTTGTTGTTAATATAAGACTGGCATCTGTATCGTTGTACGAAAACGTATGTTGTATGTAGATTTTCTACACAACGCTGGTGTGGTACACAGAGATCTGAAGACTACCAATATTCTGCTCGATGAAGACGGCCACGCTGTAATTATCGACTTCGGTCTGGCCAAATGGTTGCATCGCACAGAACGAACCAACACATTCTGTGGGACGCCCCAATATATGGGTACGAGAATATACAAATATACAGTCGTAATAGCACATGTACATCGCAGCATGCAACTTGCTTAAAGTAACACAGATTGTTGATCGAATAACAATATAAGGTGTGCTTTCATGTCGTTTCGTTACACTTATGCAAATCTTTTAACATAACTTTCCAGCACCCGAAATCCTGAAAAGGGAATATTATGGACAGGAAGTCGATTGGTGGTCTCTGGGTGTATTGGCCTGCGTTTTACTCACAAATGAGGTACGTGATAGATTCCAGGTAGAAATTTATTTATTACTCTACTATATTTGTTTTAGGTTTTTCATTTTCTGGTTAAC